TCCAGGACAAACAAAAACTAAAACAATTTGCAAACACGAAACCAGCCCTACAAGAAATAATGAAAGGGGTCCTCTAAGCAAAGAGAGAGCCTAAAAGTAACATAGACCAGAAAGGAACACAGACAATATACAGTAACAGTCACCTTACAGGCAATACAATGGCACTAAATTCCTATCTTTCAGTAGTTACCCTGAATGTAAATGGGCTAAATGCCCCAATCAAAAGACACAGGCTATCAGATTGGATTAAAAAACAAGACCCATCGATATGCTGTCTGCAAGAGACTCATTTTAGACCCAAAGACACCCCCAGATTGAAAGTGAGGGGGTGGAAAACCATTTACCATGCTAATGGACACCAAAAGAAAGGTGGGGTGGCAATCCTTATATCAGACAAATTAGATTTTAAACCAAAGACTGTAATAAGAGATGAGGAAGGACACTATATCCTACTTAAAGGGTCTATCCAACAAGAAGATCTAACAATTGTAAATATCTATGCCCCTAACATGGGAGCAGCCAATTATATAAGGCAATTAATAACAAAAGCAAAGAAACACATCGACAACAATACAATAATAGTGGGGGACTTTAACACCCCCCTCACTGAAATGGACAGATCGTCTAAGCAAAAGATCAACAAGGAAATAAAGACTTTAAATGACACACTGGACCAAATGGACTTCACAGACATATTCAAAACATTCCATCCCAAAGCAACGGAATACACATTCTTCTCTAGTGCCCATGGAACATTCTCCAGAATCGATCACATCCTGGGTCATAAATCAGGTCTCAACTGGTACCAAAAGATTGGGATCATTCCCTGCCTATTTTCAGACCACAATGCTTTGAAACTAGAACTCAATCACAAGAGGAAAGTCTGAAAGAACTCAACTACATGGAGGCTAAAGAGCATCCTACTAAAGAATGAATGGGTCAACCAGGAAATTAAAGAAGAATTTAAAAAATTCATGGAAACCAATGAAAATGAAAACACAACTATTCAAAATCTGTGGGATGCAGCAAAGGCAGTCCTAAGAGGAAAGTATATAACAATACAAGCCTTTCTCAAGAAACAAGAAAGGTCTCAAGTACACAACCTAACCCTACACCTAAAGGAGCTGGAGAAAGAACAGCAAATAAAGCCTAAACCCAGCAGGAGAAGAGAAATAATAAAGATCAGAGCAGAAATCAATGAAATAGAAACTAAAAGAACAGTAGAACAGATCAACGAAACTAGGAGCTGGTTCTTTGAAAGAATTAACAAGATTGATAAACCCCTGGCCAGACTTATCAAAAAGAAAAGAGAAATGACCCAAATCAACGAAATCATGAATGAAAGAGGAGAGATCACCACCAACACCAAAGAAATACAAACAATTATAAGAACATATTATGAGCAGCTCTATACCAGCAAATTAGATAACCTGGAAGAAATGGATGCATTCCTAGAGATGTATCAACTACCAAAACTGAACCAGGAAGAAATAGAAAACCTGAACAGACCTATAACCACTAAGGAAATTGAAGCAGTCATCAAAAATCTCCCAACAAACAAAAGCCCAGGGCCAGATGGCTTCCCAGGGGAATTCTACCAAACATTTAAAGAAGAGTTAATACCTATTCTTCTGAAACTGTTCCAAAAAATAGAAATGGAAGGAAAACTTCCAAACTCATTTTATGAGGCCACCATTACCTTGATCCCAAAACCAGACAAAGACCCCATCAAAAAGGAGAACTACAGACCAGTATCCCTGATGAACATGGATGCAAAAATTCTCACCAAAATACTAGCCAATAGGATCCAACAGTACATTAAAAGGATTATTCACCATGACCAAGTGGGATTTATCCCTGGGTTGCAAGGTTGGTTCAACATGTGCAAATCAATCAACGTGATACAATACATTAACAAAAGAAAGAACAAGAATCATATGATCCTCTCAATAGATGCAGAAAAAGCATTTGACAAAGTACAGCATCCTTTCTTGATCAAAACTCTTCAGAGTATAGGCATAGAGGGTATATACCTCAATATCATAAAAGCCATCTATGAAAAACCTACAGCAAATATCATTCTCAATGGGGAAAAACTGAGAGCTTTCCCCCTAAGGTCAGGAACGCGGCAGGGATGTCCACTATCACCACTGCTATTCAACATAGTATTAGAAGTCCTAGCCACAACAATCAGACAACAAAAAGAAATCAAAGGAATCCAAATCGGCAAAGAAGAAGTCAAACTCTCACTCTTTGCAGATGATATGATACTTTATGTGGAAAACCCCAAAGACTTCACCCCAAAACTGCTAGAACTCATACAAGAATTCAGTAAAGTGGCAGGATATAAAATCAATGCACAGAAGTCAGTGGCATTCCTATACACCAACAACAAGACAGAAGAAGGAGAAATTAAGGAGTCGATCCCATTTACAATTGCACCCAAAACCATAAGATACCTAGGCATAAATCTAACCAAAGAGGCAAAGGATCAGTACTCAGAAAACTATAAAATACTCATGAAAGAAATTGAGGAAGACACAAAGAAATGGAAACACGTTCCATGCTCATGGATTGGAAGAACAAATATCGTGAAGATGTCCATGCTACCTAGAGCAATCTACACATTCAATGCAATCCCCATCAAAATACCATCCCCTTTTTTCAAATAAATGGAACAAATAATCCTAAAATTTGTATGGAACCAGAAAAGACCCCGAATAGCCAGAGGAATGTTGAAAAAGAAAAGCAAAGCTGGTGGCATCACAATTCCGGACTTCCAGCTCTATTACAAAGCTGTCATCATCAAGACAGTATGGTACTGGCACAAAAACAGGCACATAGATCAATGGAACAGAATAGAGAGCCCAGAAATGGACCCTCAACTCTGTGGTCAACTAATCTTTGACAAAGCAGGAAAGAATGTCCAATGGAAAAAAGACAGTCTCTTCAACAAATGGTGTTGGGAAAATTGGACAGCCACATGCAGAAGAATGAACCTGAGCCATTTCCTTACACCACACACAAAAATAGACTCCAAATGGTTGAAAGACCTCAGTGTGAGACAGGAGTCCATCAAAATCCTAAAGGAGAACACAGGCAGCAACCTCTTCGACCTCAGCCGCAGCAACTTCTTCCTAGAAACATAGCCAAAGGCAAGGGAAGCAAGGGCAAAAATGAACCATTGGGACTTCATCAAGATAAAAAGCTTTTGCACAGCAAAAGAAACAGTCAACAAAACCAAAAGACAACCGACAGAATGGGAGAAGACATTTGCAAATGACATATCAGATAAAGGGCTAGTATCCAAAATCTATAAAGAACTCATCAAACTCAACACCCAAAGAACAAAGAATCCAATCAAGAAATGGGCAGAAGACATGAACAGACGTTTTTCCAAAGAAGACATCCAAATGGCCAACAGACACATGAAAAAGTGCTCAATATCGCTCGGCATCAGGGAAATCCAAATCAAAACCTCAATGAGATACCACCTCACACCAGTCAGAATGGCTAAAATTAACAAGTCAGGAAATGACAGATGTTGGTGGGGATGTGGAGAAAGGGGAACCCTCCTACACTGTTGGTGGGAATGCAAGCTGGTGCAGCCACTCTGGAAAACAGTATGGAGGTTCCTCAAAAAGTTGAAAATAGAGCTACCATATGATCCAGCAATTGCACTACTGGGTATTTACCCCAAAGATACAAAAGTAGGGATCTGAAGGGGTATGTGCACCCCGATGTTTATAGCAGCAATGTCCACAATAGCCAAACTGTGGAAAGAGCCAAGATGTCCATCGACAGATGAATGGATAAAGAAGAAGTGGTATATATATACAATGGAATATTATGCAGCCATCAAAAGGAATGAGATCTTGCCATTTGCAATGATGTGGATGGAACTGGAGGGTATTATGTTGAGCGAAATAAGTCAAACAGAGAAAGACATGTATCATATGACCTCACTGATATGAGGAATTCTTAATCTCAGGAAACAAAGTGAGGGTTGCTGGAGTGGGGGGGTGGGAGGGATGGGGTGACTGGGTGATAGACACTGGGGAGGGCATGTGCTCTGGTAAGCGCTGTGAATTGTGCAAGACTGTTGAATCTCAGATCTGTACCTCTGAAACAAATAATGCAATATATGTTAAGGAAAAAAAAAGAAGAAGATAGCAGGAGGGGAAGAATGAAGCGGGGGAAATCGGAGGGGGAGACGAACCATGAGAGACGATGGACTCTGAAAAACAAACTGAGGGTTCTAGAGGGGAGGGGGGTGGGAGGATGGGTTAGCCTGGTGATGGGTATTGAGGAGGGCACGTTCTGCATGGAGCACTGGGTGTTATGCACAAACAATGAATCATGGAACACTACATCTAAAACTAATGATGTAATGTATGGGGATTAACATAACAATAAAAAAATTAAAAAAAAAAAGGCCAGTATTTAAAAGCTTACCTTTAACCTCTATCCTGTGGACAGAGGTGATAGAGAAGAAGCAAAGAGCCCCATTTTTCCTTCCTGCCTGCTTTTAGACATGCAAATATCTATTTCAATAACTGTTAAATTAAAACTCACACACATTTCATTTGCTGAATGTTTGGGTTCTCCCCACATCCATATGTTGAAACCTTAACCCCAAGGTGATGGCATCTGGAGATGGGGCCTTGGGGAGGTAATTGGGTCAGGAGAGTGGAGCCCTAGGAATGGGATCAGTGTCCTTCTAAGAAGAGCAACCCTTGTCTTTCCTTGACAAGTTTTGTCTTACCCGAAAGAGGAGACAGTGTGGGCCCCCAGAAGGAAGCCCCCAAAGCGAAGGCCATTTTAGCCTGGTAGATTAGACAGGGGTCATCTCACTTCCACACCTGGTGGTCACAAGTTCAAAAGGAAACTCCTTGAGAGAAGAGAACTCGTCTGTGGTGTCGTGATGCCTAGCAGCTGCAACACTTGAAATCACGAAATTACTAAGAGTCTGTAATTTAAACTTTATTTCATATCTGTTGTTAAATTACACAAAATCAGTGAATTGTTTGTAAAGCCACACCACTGAACGGATGTTTACAGTTGAAATCATGGGATTTATAGGATGATGACAAAAACGGGTATTTATAAACATCCCTTATATACAATAATCAGTATAGACAGAGAAAATGCACGTAATCTCTGCAAGCCATGCACACCACAGCAATAACACAAAAGGTTTTCCTTTTTTTCCCCCTGTAACAGACATTTCCACTGGCTCGGGCTCCATCCTGCTTTCCAAAGGTACTTATCCGTTTTAAGAGCAAATGTTGTCAATTAAAACTAAAGAAAACTGAGATACCACAGTGATCTACAGGATCTTTATTTTAAAAACACAATGTACACAAAATAGTTTCACTCTAAAGCACGTTGACTTCAAGGTATGTTTGAGTTTAAAAAAAAAAAAAAAATTCCTTTCAGTTCTTCAGTTCTCAGATTTCCCAGGACTGCAATACTGTCAGATAAAACACATTTCAGATATAGTGATACAAGCTCAGCGTCAAGAAAATTTATTTTTAAACCCAAATACGCAGCTTCTTGTCTGGCTTGTGGCCATAAGTATTACAGATGAGACTAGATCATGCATATAAGCAGCGGATTGTACAAGATGTGACTTTATCGTCACACTTCTAAGCGTGTCGCTCCTGAAAACATCAATGCTATTTCCAGTTGTCTTGTTGGCTCGACAGCCAGGGGGTTAGTGTAGGTCCCTGCAAAGTATAGCAAAACCCATAAAATGGAAACTGCCCAGAATCACGACGCTTGCTAGCACAGTGGGTGCTGGCATCTTTCTTCTCGCCCTGCTTGGTTCATAACTGATCGCCTACAAGTGTTTGTCCAGAGACTTAATATGAAATCACTCTCCTCAATGCATATGCTCCTGAGACTCAACCTCACTGCAGAACACTTTCTCTTCTTTCTTCAAACAAAACCGGGTATAGGGTTAACCCAAAGTATCGAGATACAGCTTTTGGTGTTACCGAATAACTGGCTATCCTAATGCTTATTCTACCATTTTTTTTTTTTTCATCTCGTAATTGTCTACAATCTGTCAACACAAAAAAGAACAAATGGGCTAGAAGCAGCCAGCCCAACTGGAAATGGCACAATAAGAATGTACAAAAAGTCAATAACAATTCATTCACATTCAGGTTCAATTCTATCTGATCAAGAATAACTTCAATGTTTTTAGACACGTTATCCTGTTCAAGAGTTTCTTGATAAGGACCTCACTACACAAACATTGATAAGACAATTCTATAGAAAGAAAGTCCTGACTTTAATCCAGGATTATATATCACAAGAAACTCAGCAACACACCATTTAGATGATGAAGAAAGATTCTTTAAATGGGTTATTTTGGAATGAGCACAACTCGGAGAAGCCTTCAAATGAATGAGAAGCAGCGCCAACAAGATTCCAGAATTGTTGAAATTACAGTGCCCAGAGAGCGTCTGAAAATCAGATCTCTACACTGGTATTTCACTTGGGAGAAAAGTGTTTTTGTTAACTATGAGACACACCCTGTTTAAAACCTTTAAACAGTAGAAGGTAGAAAAAGTTGAAAATTCTAAACATCTCTTAAATAAGATACGAATCCTGTTCTACTTGAAAAGCCAATATTTCTTACATAAAACTGCCCATGTTTGGGAGAGAAGAATCTTCATTTCTACAGTTTGGTAAGATTTACCATCAGTTCTCATTCCATTTAAATAGATTCCTGGTTAAAATCAGAAGAAAATAAAAGGTTCTGGGGTTAATTTTGGTTTTTTAAATGTGTATATTCCTGCTTACCCCTGGGAACAACTGTTTGCTTCCAAGAGCAAGTTTTAACAGTGTATCATGAATAATTTGGAGACGTTTCTTAGCCAAAGTTGAATGGCCACATGTTATGTTTTCATTTTGTCTCTATAGCTCATTTAAGCATTTCTTAAAATATCGAAACAGCAATTTCTGGCGAGTCTGGTTTGGCTTTTGGATTTTATAAATACTCCAACAAACCCAAAAGAGGCAATTTAATTACATGCTGACAGTTGTTTTACCCACGCACAGTATAACATTTAATTGAAAGGCAACTGTAAAGGCAACATCTTAACTTTTTTTTAACTTCCAAACTGAAGGAAGCAGGATGTGTTTGGAAACTCTCATGTTTTAAGATTTGCCGTATCTCTACTGGCGCTTTGGGACAAGCGTGCAAAGGCCTCTGGGAGCCACCTAACGCCATTTCTCCACGCTGCCTATGTAATCACTGGTGCTGTTGCTGGCGCTGCCATCGCTCTGCTCTTGACCTGGGTTCTGCTTGTGGCTTTCACGGTTCTCCTTCTGGCTCGAATTCTGGGTCAGATTCTGAATCAGATTCTGAGTCACATTCTGATTGGCACTCAGATTTGGGTTCTGACTCAGATTCTGACTCGGATTCTGCCTGTGGCTTTGGCTCTGGCTCTGGCCCTGACTCTGGAAATGGGTCTGAAGGAACCTCCCCTTCAGAAATTTGCGTTGTTCCTGACGCTTCTGCCTAGCTTCCTGATGCTCCTTCTGCCTCATAAACTGATACCTTTGCAAAAAGAGGTCTTTTGCATAGCTGTACAATTCCATATCCAGAAAATTCAGTCCCTCAATCCGCTTTTGGATTTCCTCATTGATCTCTACGCTAGAGGCCCTAGTGGTATTGTATTGGGTAAATGGCGAAATAAAGTTCATGTTGAAGGTTTTCTCAAACAGGTACTGGGTCTTCCGCTGAAACTCAGTGAGGCCGAAGAATGCCATGTGCTTCAGATTCGATTTGGCACTTTCCAGGAGGACCTTGTTTCTTTGCCTTTCAGGCATGACGGAGAGGTTGTAGCAGCCGACCAGGGTCAGGTCGGAGAGCATGCGCACCTGGCGGTTATTGGCTAGATTATAGGGACAGTCCATGAACTCTTTTAGGGGGCAGCCAGACCAGTCATCCCCAGTGTAGCAGCTGGGCAGCTCTTCGGAGGTTGGGGGCCTTCCGTCACAGACGTGCAGGGATGCTTTCCATGTTGCCCCTCTCTGGACGTGCCTCCACTCACTCAAGTACCGGGACACTGGGTCTCGGAGGATGGTGATGTAGTGGAAGTTCCTATGGGCAAAGCACAAAGACCAACAATCAGCGCTGTGGGTGACATGAGTGCAGTCAGCGAGGTGCATGGCGTATGTGATGTTCACTGATCAGTAAGGAGGGCAAAGGGGGAATGATGGTGATCTGGTAGCATTTGTCCTGTGAACTGTGTTGTAGACCACTGTCTGAGTCCTACAAGCCCGTCTGGGAAGCTAACACTTTCCCCCAATTTGCTGGTACTGCAGCTAACGAAAGTAGGCCAAGTATGGGCCCAGCACATCGTCCTTGTCATTCTTCACTCCCTCTTCCCGCTCCTCCTGTTTCTCTTTCTCCAACCAGTGACAAAACCCTCCTGACAACCTCATTCGCTTAAGCAGGCAGCCATGTTATTTCATATCCCCCATAATTATTTCATATCCCCATTAACTGATCACAAAATTCTAACCTTTCTTACTAAATATACGAAAGCATTTTCCCAATATCCAGCCTAATCAGGATACCTTATTAAAAAATAAAACCTCACTGAAAGAGTGTCAATATGATGCTTTGATTCTGGCTGTTGTCCTAACATCACGGCTCATTGGTTCTGGAAGCGGTGGGCAGAGATCGGCAGAGCAGCCCGGGGCCTCCAGAAATAAACGTTGTGGTTAGTCACGGACTGAAATAGACATGGTAACTGCCAACGGCACATATGCAGGCTACCACCTCGGTTTCAGCCTTAGCTCGCATGATAATATTCCCAGCCCGGCAAAGTTAACTCTGTCCCCTCCAAAATGCTCCCTTTCTTTACCTACTGAAAGGATACCCGGGTGTCAACAAGTGTGAAGCCTCTGCCGTATGGCTATCTTCACTTTAAAGTTGCAAACTGAAAAAGTTCTTTGTTCAAATAGCGGACTAGCGAGCACTGAACCCATACGTGCACGCACGCACGGCAGGTGCACACGCACGCACTGCACCCCAGAAATGTCAAAGCCTAAGATGTGATCAGACATACTCAAGGGGAGAAACGACCCTGGGGTTGTGCTTTTTAATTAAGAAATGATTTTTTTCCTCCCACTGAGATTCAGTGGATGAAGGCTGAGGTCAAGGAAGGGCATATTGTAGAAGGAAAACAATAATGAACACTGACTATTAGCATTTCGTTTCTTACAGAAAACCTGGGGAATGGCTGGCGGCTTTTGTGACATCTATTCATTCCCATCTGAGAGAGTGGTGGTTCTGTACGCCTGCCAAAGGGAACCAACTCAACCACCAACGGGCTGGGTCTATTGGCGGCAACGTTTCAGACCCAACCACCGACAGGCTGAGTCTGAAACGCGGTAACGTTTCTTCCGAGTCTCGGGCCTCAAGGAACTCAGGCACCCCAGGGTCTATCCTGTATGCTTCTATTCTGTGCATGGTGTTTCTTCTGCTGGGCATGACCTTCCTTCTGTGACTGGAAAATTCGAAACATCCTTCAAGTTGTAGTCCAAGTACGGTCTCTCCTCTGAGAAAACGTAACCCCACCGCCTGCTGTCAGCCCTCCCCTCTTCCTCTGTGGCACCATAGTAGGTCCACAGTTACTTAGCCTTTGTAAAAACCCTTTTGATACTGAACTGTGACTGCTTGTTTGTATTTCTGCTTAAACGATGTTTTCCTGGACAGGGACTCTGCTCTTCTAGAACTTCTAGGGAAGAGGAGGGAGAGAGCTGGGGACCGGGGAGGCCATGCCCCATCCTACAAAAACTCTGGAGAATCTTCTAAGTGCCTTGCAAATATCACAGAAAGGTTTTTTTTTTTTTTTAATTACTTTATATATTTTTTCCAGACTAAACAAGCATGGGGCACAGGAGGAGCCTCTGGGAGTGAGGATGGAGAGGGCGGAGTGCCTACATCACTGCTTTTCCTAGGACCTGACTTTGCTAGGGCCATGAAAACTCATGTCTGTGAAGACCCCTTGCTTAAGGGCCGGCAGCTTCTGGTGCCCCTGTAGCCTTTACCAACAAAGGTGACTACTATTCCCACGGGCTTCCTCCTTCCGCCCCTTGCTGTGGTATTCATTCACTCCTTCGTTCAACACATATTTATCGAGCCTTTATGTGAGGCTGGAGGCGATAGCTTAGTGGCAATTAGTCTGATTATTTGGAAAAAAAAGAAATTTATGAAGTCCAGTGACACATTTGGATTAACCTTTCAACCAGCTTTAGCAGGCATGCATTATAATGGGGGCTGTCAGGTAGTTGCAACCCCCATAATAAAGTCACCTTCATGCTTAGCTGACAGTCCTCCTGCCCCGCCTTGTTGAACTGGTTTAAGACGACAGTGACATCTTCTGGTAAATCCTAGAGTGCAGCCCTGTGCCAGTCGGAGGCTTTCCTTCCTCAACACGCTGCCTTGTCTTTGGGAACAGACAGATCTCCACCACCAGGGTGAATGTCATGAGCAGTGTTTTGGAAGCACCATCCTCACGTGGAAAGAGAGGAGGCACCCCAGGGGGGCAGAGACAGACGCTGCAGGGATGGTCACGGCCACAGAGAAATGAGAGGCGCCCACACGCACACATGTGCACACCCTGCCCGCCCTGGTGACCGCAGCTGTCCTACCCTCGGGAGATGACAGGTCCAGGGATTGCCCACAGCCCACGTCTTCCAGGGAAGACAGGCCTGACTCCCAGGTTGCCTCAACGGGAAACACTCGATGCTGCTGGAAAGAACGATCCCGGGGCTGGAAAGGCTTAAAGGTTGGTGTCCGGGAGTGTCCAGTGGCCTCCCGGATACCATAGTGTGCTGGAGGTGGGAAGGCAGGTGATGGTAACATGTGGGAGGTTTGGTTGGGCAAAGGATCCAGGAGGCTCGTTACTCTGAGGAGAGAGCTGTTAGGGAACTGTCAGAGAAGCAGTCTCCCCAGCCAGGCCACCTGAAGATGTGACAGCCCAGCCCAACGGGAACGTGCCGGGGGTGGCGCTCCTCCCGTGGCCAGTTCAGTGCAAGCACCTCACGTGTGCCTGGCACGGGGTGCCCGCAGGGCCAAGACATGGCATTTCGATAGAAGGTGTTCTTTTTTTAAGATTATTTATTTATTAGAGAGAGAGAGAGCACAAGCAGGGGAAGCGGAAGGCAGGGGGCAGAGGGAGAAGCAGACTCCCCATTGAGCAGGGAGCCCGATGCGGGGCTCGATCCCGGGACCCTGGGACCATGACCTGAGCCGAAGGCAGACGCTTAACCCACTGAGCCACCCAGGCGCCCCAAAAGAATGTGTTCTTAATGGTTGGAGCAAGCACAAGGTGCGATGAAAACACCTCGCTAGCCTAACAATATGGGCAACAGCTTCTGCCACTTTATTTTGAAAACAAGAATGAGAGGAGGCAAGAAGAGAGGAATGGAGTATGAGGCAGAAAGTTGAGCATGAGCAAAGTCACAGGACACAAACTAGCCTGTTGTGTGTGGAAGAAGTGCATTGAAAACCTCTTACAGGGGGCGGGGGGTGGTGGTGCCTGGGTGGCTCAGTCAGTTAAGCGTCTGCCTTCGGCTCAGGTCATGAGCCCGGGGTCCTGGAATCGAGCCCCACATCGGGGCCCCTGCTCAGCGGGGAGCCTGCTTCCCCCTTTCCCTCTGCCTGCCGCTCCCCCTGCTTGTGCTCTCTCCTTCTCTCTGACAAATAAATAAATAAATAGATAAACAAGTAAATAAATAAAATCCTTAAAAAAAAAAAAAGGAAACCTCTTACTGGGAATGAAGGGGAGTGGCAGGGGTTGAGGATGGAGGGGTAGCCACAGACCTGGCTGTGGAAGGCCTTAGGACCCCCCAAGAAAGGATTTAGACTTCTGTAGCTGACAGGGAGGCCTCTGAAGGGGTTTAAGCAGAGGAGCGACATGATGAAATCGGTGTTTTAGCAAGCTCACAGGGTATGGAGTGCGGAGATGGAATTAGGGAAATTCGCCTAAGGTTACTGCAGAAAACAAGGCAAAAGAAGGAGTGCAGCCTAGAGACATTTTTAGGAGGTAGCATTAACAGACTTGGTGTCAAAATGAACACAGGGGAGAGGAAGGAGGAGGGTTAAGGATGCCTCCAGTTTCTGGAGGAAGGCCTCGGGTCCTCTGGGACACCCAAAAGAGAGTTGAATGGACAGATACAGCACTCAGGGAGTATCTGGCCTTAAGATAAAGATGTGGCGTTCACAGCAAAAAGTAGTCGTTTCAAACCACGACAGCCTACTTGCGGATCGAGTTTTAATTCCACACGTGTGGCTTCGGCGCTTTGAAGACCGACTTCAAGTACCCCGGGGTAGCCCAAGGTTTCCCTTCTTAATGCTAAATATGGTTTTCAACTCTTCTGGACACTGCTTCACTGTCCTCTTGTTTCCCCTGAATATATTCCACTTTACTGGAACGTGTCCTCCAGGCATAGTCTGACAAGTGACAAGTAGGGACAGTCTGTCACCTCCCTCATTCTCGACACCATTTCTCTTCGTGTGGCCTCGTATATCACACCGGCCTTTTTGGCAGATATGCCACACCGCTGATGCACAAGCAACTAAACTCTTTCATTCTTGTACACGTACACCATTTTGAAACCCAATCTACTTTATCCTGGACCTGGATGTAGTTTACTTGTGGCCCTGTTTAATTTCTTCTTGTTAGAGTAAGTCTGAGCCTGTCAAAACACATCTGGATTCTGATTATATCCCCTAGTATCTTCACCATATCTCCTTATTCCTTTTGGCAAGGCTTGTATCCAGGCATTGATAAAACAGGACAAGATGCAGGCAAGAGCTGCTGGAAATCTACCTTCAGGTGGACATTACTCCGAAGGGTGCTGCTGAACGGATTGATTTAATTTTAAATGAGTGAGCCATTTAAAATGGCTCAACCCCAGGAAAATCACACTCAGCCTGTTTTGGTTAGTGGTAATGGGACAGGAATATCTTAGGACAAAACTTGTCACTTAATTAAGATGAACAGGTGTCACATCTTTAAATTGGAGTCATGACTCCCCATCAGTTACCTAGGTGAATTTAATGACCATTGTTCAGTGTGTCTGTAT